TCTGCCTCCCTCCTGCTCTGCAAAGCTGATGCTCAGCTGTATTTAAAGCATCCCTCTCCTCCAGGGCTGTGCTCTAGGCTGGCATTCCGCCCCCAGCCCTAACGGGACGTTGCTGCAGAGCAAGTGAAGGGCTCACGCCGTGCTTCCCAAATCACCCTTCTCTTGGGATACGGGGTGCTTGTCGGGGCAGGGATCCCCGTTTTGCTGCGAACTCAGGGGAAGGCCAGGGCTGTAGGGTCTGACTTGGCCACTGTGCCTTCTCCCCGGTAGGAGGGCCAGCAGCTTTCCTGATCCCCCCCCCGTACTCGCTCTGCATCTGCCCCGAGGGCCAGAACGTCACCCTGACCTGCCGGATCAGCGGTCCCCTCGCCGACCGCCACGATCTCCTCTACAAAACCTGGTACTTCAGCAGCAACGGCGACCAGAGCTGCTCCGAGAAGAAGCACATCCGCAACATCACCGAGAAGGAGCTGCACCACGACCTGGGCAGGCACCACGAGCCGCCGAGCAACGGCACCCAAAAATCCCCGCTCAGGGGGCAAGCCAGCCATCACGGCGTGGAGTTTGTCCCCGACCACCACGGCGCCTTTCACATCGTGGTGATGAACCTGACGCTGCAGGACAGCGGGAATTACTGCTGCTACGCCGTGGAGGCCAGGCGGGAGCACAACAAGCCCCACACCCGGCAGGTTGCTCACGGCTTCGTGGAGCTGCAGATCCAGCAAGGTGAGGGGGGGGGGGAACGGATAAGGGGAGCCCCTGCTGGTCCCTTATCCATAGCGGGGTGCATCGGGGCAAAGCGGGAGGGAAGGGCCGGAGGGGGGATGCTGGGGTGCAGCATGGGGCTGGAGAGGCAGGGGCGTGCTGATGCCGAAAGCCCTGAGCCGTGCTGCAAGAGTCACGGAGCAGCAGATGTTCAAGGTTTGACTTAGGGCCAGGAAAAGAGGATAGGAAAATTTAAAAAAAAAAAAAAAAAAAAAAAAAGAAAAAAATATCAAAAGGCTGGAACACACAAAAAAAAAATCCATGCTACATAGTTTCGCTGATCTTCCTCAACCTCTTTCGGGAAGAGAGGAAAACAAACCTCGACATGAAAGGAGCCGGCTGGCAGGCAAGCCGGGGTGTAAGGGCTGCAGGCGTTGCTTGGGATGCAGGGCTTGTGGACAACCTTGGGGCAGGAGCCCAGCAGGGAAAGCTGCCCAGGGAGAGCTGCCCTTGATTTCCTGATACTTTCTCTTTTAGACCCAA